CCTGACTGCAGGAGGGCGAGCAGGCCGAGGAGGCAGCTCTTGCCAATGCCGAAGTGTGCCAGGGGCTGGCGTGCAGCAGCCTGCTTGAGGCAGGCGTGGGAACAGTCCAAATATAGGCCGTTCCCAAAACCCTGGTTCGGTGCCTGAGTTTCAGGGTCGGTTGTTCTGATGAACGACCGAAAATGGCCCTTGGGCTCAGGCTAAAAATGCTATTACCATTTTTAGTCTGAACCGTCTCAGGGGCTGTAGGCCCTGAAAGTCAGGCTTTCGGCCTGAACCGAAATGGGGTCTATAAGCCCTGAATTTCAGGCTTTCGGCCTGAAATCCAGGGTTTTGGCCTGAATCCGGTCGGGCCTGCAAAATGGCCGTCGGGCCTGCAAAATGGCCCGTGTGTGCACGCGCTGCATGTAACACCCCCCCCTCCTTATGAAGTCAAGCCGGGGCGAGGGCGAAGCCGTCGGTCTGAAGGTGGAACCTGGACGCAGGCGCGGCGTGGAGCCGAAGAATCCGGCTTGCCTTGCATCTTGCGTTCGTAGCATGCGAGAACGTCTGGAGCAATTGCTTGCAGTTCCGCACGGGTCAACCAACGATCAGCTCGATGAGTGCAGTAAGCAAAATGCACCAGATAATCAGTTGGCTTATTGTCGTAGCGTCGCTGGGAGATGATTTCGTCGACCTCCTGAAAACCATCCATAGAAGGTGGATCCTGCGTACGTCTCCCGGGAAAATCATCATGTTCCGCAGGCGTGTACATAGCCAATTTGGAACAATGAAAGACTTGGTAGACGGGCAGGTGGCTAGGCACCTGAATCGTGAAGGAAGGCCCCTCAGGTGCGTCCCCAGCGGGCTCGATCATCGGCCAAGGCCCCATCCATTTCGGAAGGAGCTTGCGAGAGATGTCCTGTTCAAGGCTGAATTCCGCTGCTGAAACCCTGACAAGGTCTCCGACGCGGAATGGACAAGGAAGACGCTGGCGATTTGCTTGTTGGCGCATGCGCTGTTGCGTCTTAGCCATCTGGTCGCGTGCCTTGACAAGAAGCTCTTGCATCCGACGCAAGAAAAAAAGATGGTCGTCACTCTCGGCCGTGCGTGGAGTACTCGTGTCCAACGGTGACGTGACCGGCGAGCGGTGCTCGAACTCGAAGGGCGATATCCCAATAGCCGGGTGGATGGAAGAGTTGTAGGCCAACTCAACGTCCGGCAGTCGCTCAACACACTCTTTCTGGTCGGGGGGGATGAGAGTGCGAAGGAGAACCTGTGCGGTCTGATGCGCCCTCTCCGTCTGGCCATCGGTCTGAGGGTGGCGAGTTGAACTGGGCTTGAGAGATGAGCCCCATCGCTTGATGAGCGCCAACCAAAAATCGGACATGAACCGAGTGTCGCGGTCGCAGACGATCTCCTTGGGGTAACCCTTGGTGCGAATCCAACCGGCGTACAGAACCTCGGCCAACTCCGGTGCCTTGGCATGATAGCGACAAGGCAAGAACATGGCGAACTTGGTGAGTCGGTCGACCACCGTGAGAATCCCATCCACTCCGGTCTTGTGCTTGGGGAACGGGCCGGTGATGTCCATGGCAATCGCTTCCCTTCGCCTCAACGGGATTGGCAATGGTCGTAACTCACTGTACGGACGGTGGTTGCGGGATTTGCAGCGTCGGCAAACCTCGCAATGACTCGCAATAGCGCGTGACGTCGCCGAGAAGGCCGGGCCATCAAAATCGCTGGCGAAGTCGGCCAATCGTGCGATTGACTCCAAAATGTCCAGTGGCGGGAGYGTCGTGGAACTCGCCAAGAAGCCGTGTACGCAAGTGAGGATCACTTGGTACGCAAAGAAGGTCCTTCCCCCGCGTGTGGACAAGCAAGTACCCCTCTTGGATCCGGTAGTGAGAAGGAGCCGGATTAGGAGAGGAGCAATTTGCGTACTTGTCGCGAAACTCGGGGTCGGCTTGATAGCCGCGGATGAAGCTGTTYCGCAGGTCATCGTCAATCTCGAAAGTCGAGTAGACCGTGGTACAATGATCCGGACGCCGTGAAAGAGCATCCGCAAAACGGTTCGACTTCCCGGGAATGTGATCGGGAAAGAA